CAGATAGCTGAGGATGATAGATCACGACCATACAGGAGAGACAAATTACTGAAAAATCTAACAGAAAAAAATATCATTTTGACTTCTAATTAGACACCATTACGATGAGGCAGTTAAACTAATACTATCAGAAAAACGTTTTCGCATCAATAGAATTAGTATAGGTAATAGCATTATTTGTAGTGACATTTGGCATCAATACCACGAGTGATATTTCGAAATTGTTATACGTAATTTCACGAGCCGTTAGGCGAGTGACATTTGAGACAATTTTGAAATATCGCTAGTGGTATTTATGCCAAATATCACGTACAAATCATGCTATTATTTGCTTATACTACTACCCGCAAAAGGTTTGTAATTTTCAAATGTAGGTATTTCAAAGTAAGCTGAAATACCACTGCTCTAAGCGAATCAAATTACAGAAATTTATCATGTAGTAGTATAACAAAAGTAATGGTCGAGATTTGTTATTTAAGGCTATATTTAGGCATCGATTCTGTGTCATGTTGTCTGTTCTAACGGATACCAAGGATGGACATGGATTAAAACTTGAAAAGTTTGGGCCAACTTTTTCATGTTTTAATGCTATGCCTGTAAAAATCATCGACAACGTTATCATGGTTAGTTCTCCCTGATAAAATTTGTTCGTTGTCTTTTTCGCAGCTCTACAGGAGAATTTTGTGAGTGGCATGGGTAAAGGCACTTAGTAATCAAAAATGACTTTGAGAGACTTTAAGAGTGACCAACATCAATTTTCTCCCAACAACATCAGCAGATCATAAAGAGTAAAGGTTATGAGAATTTCTTAATTGATTACCGAAGGAAGAATGCTTTGATCTTAAACCAAATTCTCTCAACTATTCTGAAATGAAATGTACGGTGATCATTCTGGAGAATTTGTATGTGGATCTTTAGGCTTTCTTTGCTGTTTTAGATCACTTCAAAACAGCAGTATCCTTGACAGCCCCTTTAACGTATCAATGATTCGTCTTTATTGCAGTCTATATAAAGAAGAGGAAGGAGGAGTGATGCAAGCGATGGAAGAACATCAAAAAGAAAGACGAATAATAATAGGTTAAAACGTTCTCAAGTTGTCAAGTTATGTTATCAGTAGATTTGAAACACGAAGAAGAATAAAATTTAAAATTTAATAATAAAAATAAACTTTCTTTTTACAAAACGATGACCTGTTTACAGTTTCATTGTGAGGGGTGTATTTTCAGATTTTGAATTACCTTTTCAGTTGGAAATCTTTTTCAACTTTTTCAAATGCTGAAGACGATGAACTAAATATTATCTTTACTCTCTAGGAGATACCTCAGTAAGTGATAGCTAGTGCGTATCTGCGATGTATCTTTGTCGGTTTCGCTGTAGTAAATGAGAGCACTTGTAAGTCACTTAGGAATGGCTTAAAATTAAAAAAACAAAAACAAACACCCAAAAAACGATGATTTATTTACAGTTTAATTGTGTGAAGTGTATGTCAGAGTTTGCTCTCACATTTAAGTAAAGTACATGTTTTAGTTGACTTTAATAAAATAAAATCAACGCATTTTTTTCTTCTTGCATTATCAAATGTCCAAAAAGCTTCTGTCGCTTTATTTCAGAAGTGACTAAAAAAGGCAAAGAAAGGTGACAATAACAAAAAACAACGACAAATAAATGGAAAATACGAACGGCCGATCTTGAAACCAGCGAGTTGCCAGATCATAAACTAAATTAAAGAAAACCAGCAAATTCCTTTCTAAAGAGAAGAAGTTTTCTCGGTTAAGGACGGTGATTTATCGATTACTCGTATCTAATTAAGAAAGTAAAATGTAATTAGCTAACTGTATCAGGGAGAACGCCATTCTGATATGAAATTTATACCGGAAAAATGAAAAATTAACGTCTTCTTTGCTTTTGTAACAATGTCACTGCAAATTTCATCTTGTTGCGACAAGACGGAAACTGAGCCAATCTCAATTATTTACACGTGTAGTCGGTGACGTAACTAATCTCACAATAAAAGAGACGAGCATTTAGTTCATGGAGATTCCGCAGTAACCATTAGTTTATAAAAATACACTCAGAAAATTTATTTTTTTGTCTCCTCCAGCACCGAAATACAGATGCTCGCTATCGAGACGATTTAATTATTAATAAATTTATGATCTGTTTTAGCCCAGGATAATGTATTGCAGATAGTGTGTCACCATTCCTTTCGATTGGGGCCTCATTAATTGCTCTTTAATTTGAAGTTAACAGTTTTAGCAAGCCGATATATCTTCTCTAGACTATTAGTAAGATGAACCACAGATACAAAGCGAATATTAACTGGTCACTGAATGAGCGGTCAAAGTAGGAACGCGCTTTAGAATCTTATTGAAATAAGGTAAGACTGGCAGCGTTTCACTGATTCGTGACTTCTTAATTACAGCCCATCACGCGTTGGAAAATGCATTGAAGGTTTCCTAACATATTATCTTTAAAAACAAATCTGTGTCCTAGTGGAAAACTACCGAGGCTTATGTGGGTGTCTGCTTAATATATTTAGTCCGTATTTTCACTGTAAATATACGTTTTCAATTGCCAATCTTTTTAACTTTTCAAAAGCCGAGGGCTGTACGACACGAGGAACTACATATTTCTTTACTCCCTAGGGGATAATTTAAGTAAGTTATAGCAACTGCGTATTTGCAACGGAGTTTGTCAATATCTCTACTTACTTAGTTACAGAACTTGAAATTAACATAGGAACTGCTTCTGATGTATTTAATATAACGTAATTCTGACTAAACAAAATAATACTAAGACAGTTAGGATACATTCCATGAAATGTTTATAAAATAGAAATAAAGCGCCGCAAACGAAACAAACGCTTGCCGGTTAGGTGAAAGAAAAGATTTATGACACATTTTGATAACAGCACTTTTCGTCTTCGGTGAACAATGTATTTATCAAAATTCACCGGACATGAATCAAAGCAAAACAAAACTGGGTGAGAATACCTAACCATTTCAGATTTTAGTTGAGGAGAACGGTAGATTTTATCGTCACAATTATTAATTTTGCCTTTCCGTTAAACGGAAAGATTTAATTATTACCTATATTTTTTCTTAAATGTAGCAAGTAATATTTAAAAGTTGTCTGATACCTAAAAGTAAAAGTACCGCAAAGTCGAATCTTGAGCTCAAATCGTCGTACTGAAAATGTACTAAAAATCATTATTCTCAGGAAATGTCCAAAAACATTCAAATCTGTTCAGTTCTCATGTTTAAAGGGGCTACACTAGGTCTTTTAAACCAGAAGCAAAATTTCTTAGAACATGGTCGTAATTTTGTCGCAGAAAACGACGTTTACAAAGCACCAATCGAACACAATTGAAATCAACCAATCACCTTAAATTTGCCGAAATACGTTCAACAATCGTCTCTCGGCGTTTAAGCTTCTCCGTTGTTTAGTAATGCCATATCTTATATTCTAAAATATATCATAGTTACTGTAATAATTGATTTCCTTCATTACCTTTATAATAGCTCTACTTGATTTACGGCCTCTATGGTAGACCAGCAAATATTAGCTAATGACTCGGATTTGAAACAAACTGATACAAACAACGAAAGTAACCCTTTATCGAAAGTGTTATTTGTGAGTTAACAAAGAATATTTTCAAACCTATTAACCTAAAAGATAAATCAGTATTTTTCCGAGTTTCTGTTATCTTTAAAAGAAATTGTCCTTCAGGAAGTCAATATCCTTTCACGTACATAAAAAGATGAACCATACAGATATAACTTAACAAAGTCGATTACAAATATTTCACTCAACATTTTTCGTCAGTGCAGGCTGCTACACACAAATAAGAGGACGTCAACTACATTTGATTTAGGTAAGTTTGTTTTTCACAACTTGCGGCAGGTTTCCTTGGATTTCAAGCGCAGATAGAACAAAAGAAACAGTCTTCAAGCTGTTTTTCCAAATAAAATCAACAGAAACTAATTATAAATTAAAAACGTTAATGAATCAAACGGTTGATTTTTAGATCGATCCTTTGTCTCAATAGCTCAACAACAGAACGGTTTTGGGGGAGTAACAATCCCTTTGGGAATCAAAACCGTAATTGGACCTTTTCTCAGACACAAAACGACAGTCTTTTTATTGCAAGAAGCTGCAGGCGACATTTGACTGAAATTAAGAAGTTTGAATTTATTTTGACCGAGTAATCCCCCAAAAGGCATTCCACTAGAGGGTTTTTGTATATCTCGGTTTTGTTGCTGTTTTAACTTACGTTTCTTCGTATGTAGCTCTCGACCGCTTTTGATTATATAAAGCCAAATTAAGGTAAAAGGGATAACTTAAGCATTTTGGTAAAAATATACAGTTATGTAATTGAAAGAAGAAATGAAACTAACAAGGGAAAAGCCTTAAACTGCTAAAGCATATCTAACATTCGAAAGAACTGTTCTTTCCCATTTTCAATAAAAAAAAAACCTTTCCTAAGAAGCTTTCACAAGTAAACACTGCTATCCACTTTAAACGTAATAACTTCATCTACACGTAGAAAAGTAGGTCAATCTTGTGCCGACCGTAAAGGTTCTTGCTTTTGTTCCTTTAACCGCATTAAAAATTACCATATAAACAGCTTTATCATATTACTTTATTTATTTACTATCTATTGGAATACTTCAATATTATTATTATTATTATTATTATTATTATTCCATATTTTTAAAAAATTGATACTCGCTAAAAAGAGCTTCCAAATTTGGGCTTAATCAAGTACGCACAAAAAAGCATGTATGACGTAAAAAAGCATCGAGGCTCACTCTTTCCCTTCCCTTGTTTACTTTGAATTACAGGCCATCTTACTGGAATTAGTAGAATCTAACGTAAAGTTTTCCATCAGATGTAAAATCGCGTTGCAAGGCCTGCCTTTGAAAATGCAAAATGACGGTTCAACAATGAATATCTCAATTTTCTTTATCTACTTTAGCCAGAAAAATCCTTCGACCGCCATGAACAAACTATTGGTTTTAACACTGGTAATTTCACTGCTCGCCGGAACATTAATCCATTCGGGAGAAGCGCTTATCCGTGCAGGGAGAAATATGGTTCCTTATCCGCTCGATGAAAGAGACACTGAAACTATGTATCACTTATACAATCGAGAAGAAAGTCCTCGATATTTCAAACGAGGTAAATAAAAGAACATTTTAGTCTCTATGGTTGGCGATCATAGGGAGATACCCTTCTGATTATTAAAAAAATAGTGCTTGCATTTTACCTATTTCATTACAATATTCCGCGCTAAGGCAGTCTGTCAGGCAGTCAGTAAGCCATTCACTTCCATCCAATCAATCAATCAATCAATCAATCAATCAACAAATCAACTATTCTTACATTTTTGTAGCATTTTAGACACATTGGGAGCCCTTAGACATGATGGCAAGAGGACAGGGGTAGAACTGGGTTTAAGACATTTTGGTTGATAATACAGTTTCTCTTCCCCTTTTGTAGAAACAATGGAAACAAGTTCATTCGTACCTTCCTTGATTCATCCAGTCAATCAATCAATCAATCATTTTTACAGGGTCCTTTGGCATAATTTAATTAAGGGCTGAATGTTTGGCTAATATCTTATTTTCTTTTGATCTATTTCAGATAGAATGGAAAGGCGAGGAATTAAAGCATAAGCGCTATACTGAAAACTCTATAAAAATCATTTACAAAGAAAAGAGAAGAATAGGAAATTAATCAGAAAGCATTTAATGCTTAGATGAAGTAGTTATTTATAATAGTTCATGTATTGGATGACGATAAAGCCAGAAATAAATTGAGTTGATGTTATCATACCAAGCACTGACGAAAATAAAACATTTGATGCGTGAGCTTAATTATATTGATTTGTTTTTACTTGTAATTTTTGGTCTTCTTCGTTATAATCCAAATGTACCTCCCTGATCAAGACGCCCAGATCAAAGAGATCGACTCGAGTGTTGGTTGCCTATCATTGTGGCAGTTCAATACACCATTCGCGTGCCTGAATGCGAGGCCTGAGTGACGTTGCTTTAGCTTTGCTTTAATACAAACCCCTTTGCTTTGCTTTGCTTATGGAAATGTTGCTTAAAAAAATAACTGCCAGCAATTAATAACAGAACTTAACATAACATAATAAACCAGGAAGGGTAGATGAAAACAAGGTCCATACCAGTCTCGCTTCCAACAACAACTATAAAATTGGCTGCTGAACGTTAAGTGAAGACGCGTTAGTTAAAACGTTTATTCTAAATGCGATTTTCAGCAAAGGTGGGGCGAACATTTGGCCAATGGCTAGACTAAGTTACTACGTTATACGCACAGAATACACTGCCGCAAAGACGGCAAATTTGGATGTCGGCAGGGTGGTGATTTCTCCAGAGCTCATGTTGTCGCCGTAATGGTGAAATTAAGAGATCAAGTTAAATTTCTGCTTTTATCGCTTATACAGCTATTTCGAGAAAGGTTGTCGGAAAAAAATGAGCACGCGACATTCCCGAAAGGTAATATGGGATATGATTAACACACTGTTCCTAACGACTGTAGCCGTCGAACCTACTTTTGTTGCTTTCCTTAAGAACTCGCAAACATTTGTCCATGGCCTCCGTGCCATTCTTTCAAATTTCTTTGAAGAACAGAACACTCAAACCACCCACAATACCTTTCGGGATTGTCGCGTGCACTTTTTCCGACAACCTTTCTCGAATAGCTGTATACTAAGGTGAAATACTAATGCTGATAGGAGGCGGAGAAAAATCAAAACACAACGCCTCACGCACCATTGCTTCGGTATAATATAAATTGTTAGATAGCCCTTTCACTGCCAAATGTGGCCAAAGGCAAATTTCGACCAAATTTCCAAATTTCATTTTGTGAAATTTGGACAAACAAATAGCATCATGTGAAAGTACAGGCAGAGAGCTTTCATTTGAATGGTCACATCATAGGATTTCGTCCACAGAATCAAAAGGTAGAGTTACCTTACAAAACTCAATCAAACACTCTGGCAGTGAAAGGGATAAAATACACGATTTATGATTGACCAGAGTGCATGGAGTTGACAAAAGGTTCAAATACACAAGAACACAAAAGAAGGAAAAGGAAAAGTTGAAACAGGGAAACTTATCATAACAGCAGGAAAACTTATCATAATACAACCGTCGACGAATTTTCTTTTCAAAATTTAATGAAATTTTTTTCTCACTTAGCCTTTTGGTGTGCGAATGTTATTTAAAAACACTTCTAATAGCCGTTAAATTATTGAGTTTGTATCAAACAATTAATGACTGGTTCTGAGGGAAACAGTTAATTTTGTTTCCCTCGGATCTCGCTGTTTCCCGAGGCCCCGAGTGACCAGTCTATAAGTGATTTGTTATGTAGCTGGAAATTCATTAAACCTCACTGTAACGGCGGTCGTCGGTCAACTTTCGCGGGCAACAGTGCACTGTTACCCTCTGACGTCATGGATCTTGCAATGTGCCCCGCGCAGAGATTTTGGCGGGAAATAGCTTCATTGTTAGATGTCATGTAACCTTGAAGTAACTAATGACAGCGCGCGCTGTTGGGAAAAAATTTCCAGCTATATACCGTGAAAATTCCGAAAATAAGCCCCTCCATGTATAAGCCCTTCAAATATAAGCCCCCCAAACTCGTAACGCAAAAAAACCTCCGTTAAATCGCCCCTCCAAATATAAGCCCCCCCCCCCCCCCCCCCCCGGGCGTCTTTTGAGAAATCCCCCCCCCAAAAAAAAAACAAAAACGAAAAAAAAAAAAAATTTAATCCACAACAAAAGAACAACAAAAACACAATCAAAAAAAACCTTCCCCCCAAAAACATAAGAAGAGCACCCACCAAGACACGACAACCACCACAAGCTGTCCAAATATAAGCCCCCCCCCCCCACCCCCCAGGGGCTTGTACTTGGAAATTGCCCTCAAATCCAAAGTAAAGCAGAGCAAAAACGGTAAATTTCCTTCCAACTGAAAGGCTAGCCCAATCGATTTTGAAACGCAAATTTCCCTCCATAGATAGGCCCCTCCGAATATGAGCCCCTCCAAAAATAAGCCACTCAAAAAGAGCCTTTGAAAAATATAAGCCCCGGGGCTTATTTTCGGAATTTTACGGTAACATAAAAGGTTGATGTCATGAATGATATTAATCATCGTGGATAATGTGTATAAAAGGTTTAGTTTATCGTTTGTCTCACGATTGTCACTTGGATATTGATCGCGACGTTTCGACCGCACACAACAGGTCTTCATCAGGCGATAGTGTCGATTTGCTGAGTCGGACTATTTGTACCACCGTGGTTGCCCAATAAGACCGGGCATTATCCGCTCTGGGACGAAGTTAAGTTTATTGACCGAGACCCTAACTGCTACTCTCGTAGAGTTAAAGAGGCTATTCACATAAGACTTCAACGTAACAACATCAACAGGGACAGTGGAATTGAAATTCCTGAAGCATAGATGCCTACAATCAGACAACATAACAGCCAATCGCTACCACAACGGATCGCTGAGGGATCAGTTTTCTCCTCTGATACTACCAACAATGCTTTGGATCGAAACCCGCCACCCATGAGCGAGGTTCGTGATACACCAATCACAAACAACCACGGTGGTACAAATAGTCCGACTCAGCAAATCGACACTATCACCTGATGAAGAACTGCATTGAGTGGTCGAAATGTCGTGATCAATATCAAAGTGACAATCGTGAAGACAAACGATAAACTAAACCCTTTATACACATTACAGGTTGTCACATTGCTAAGACCTTTGACGCCAGCCAAGATGGCCGCCTAGTTGACCGCCATCTTGGATTTTTCTGAGAATTCCGTCAGTTTATAGAGCGATTTTTTTTTCAGGAATTTTTTCAAGTCCAGTTAAAATTGACTAAATATCAATTCTCATTGATTTCCATCCCACTTAACAACTTTCTTATATGATTACGTAAAACATGGCGTTTCCAAGATGTCGTCCACTTGGAATTAGATAACGTCCCATAGCTTCATGAAATACCTGCGCTTAGACATTTCCTGGGGTGTTAGATATCCTCAAGATCCTGTCATAGCTTATTGCTAGGGGCAAGTGGAATGAAACACCGGTCTCACCCTTCCCCCAGGCAAAACGAGCCCAAAAGGAACAAACTTGTCCGGACTCTAATTTCGCAAATTCTGAAAAGCAAAATGATCAATAACTGAAGAAAAACGAAGATATTCAAGATAATGCGCGTTCATCTAAATTTACTTTCCCGACAAGTACTGATTGTATTTTCCATACCGTTTTATAAAAGTTCACCGTTTAAAGATTTCATTTCGCTTTTAACAAGGTCGAAATATTATTTGTGAATGCCGAGAAGCGAGAAACCCTAAAAATCCTTCTGAACTTGAAGTTGTAAAAAGAGAAGATAGGTATAAACCAAAAATAACAGAATATGCCAGTTTTCAATGGATTGGACTCACGACCTGTGGATTGGAGATCTTAATTAGATCCTACGCAGCGTATAATCTAGAGCAAAACCAGTCAAAGTAAAAGCGGCTAAATATAGTACTTCCTCGTGATGTAATTTACCACGCTGTCATTGTAGTTCGCACTTTGAACCCAAAGAGAGGAAATTCTAAATGTAACTGCTTGACCAATAGCTACTGAGTTCTTATTATGGTGTACAAATTGTTTCGAACTTTAATTTTGCATCGGTGAATGAGTTACCATTTAAGACAAAAGCGACCGATAAATTTAAATTACTTTCCTGTGGACGTTTGATGAAATTAGTTCTATTGTAAGCAGTTTTTCTCATACAAATGAAATCTTAAACTGATATCGCCTAGATCTTTTGACCAAAGTAAAAATTCAGAACGGCTGCTGACACATTTTGCTATTCCAATCCTGAGAATTAACGGGCTTTTAATCAAGAAAGACGGTTATCTTAGCCTTGAAAAGACAAACAGCACGTCTTTAACTCTTCACACAGCTTTTCGTCGACGCTATTCGCTAAACCGGTTCCGCGTCACGCATGACGCACAGATATAACCACACGATTGATGTAACAAATAAAGCTTCCGTAATCGCGAAAGCTTCAAAGGATCTCATAAAGATCTCGTAAAGCCCGATAAAAATCTCGAGAATACGAAATGAACGTCAGAACACGATCGATATTATTAATTACTTAAAAAAAGTCATTCATAAGCGACACTTCAAGTTAATTTCACCTTTTGTGTGAAAATTTGTTTCCTCGAATCTTCCCTAATCTTATCTCTAAGAACACGCTAATGTTTTTTGCTGACCGAAAATTAAGTGGATTAGCTTTATCTTTTTTCATTTTGCAAATGTAGTTTGTTAACGCATATACAAAAAAAGGAACTTAAATAGAGCTTCGAGAGAAGCCGAAATGTTTTTAATTTTTTCTTTCTCCTAATCCCACGCGTTTTATGTTTAATACATCTTAAACCAGAAGTTTTATGTTTTGAAGGATACTTTCTCCGAAGAACTCTCCGAATCTCACGGAAATCTGGTGATACAGGTATAATCGTCTATTATTTATCGAAAGATCCTTCCTTTTTAAAATCGACATCATCAGGTGGCTTTCCTTTCGTTTAGCTGAAAACCCACTTCTTGATAAACGAAAGTGCTAGACTAGGGTTGTTCTTCGCACTGGACTCGTGGGCACAGAATCCTCGCTTTGGCGGAGTGTAAAATCTACAGATCATCGATAACTAACTTTCCTCGACTTCAGCTGAAATTAGAAATCTTTTGTATTCTTATCAACCTAGGCAATAATCCTTCACTAATGCATCCGCTTACTTGATTGAAAGTTATGAATTGTATCTGCCTATAAATTATCTAGCAGGGCATCTCACCGACTTAACATAAACGTCCCTGGAAGAAGTCGTAAAAAAAAACAAAAGAAAGAAGATTCAGGTAGGGATTTTTTTCTAGCTGCTAGATATTTTAGTAAATTACTTTAACTTTTTAAACGATGGCGCATTTAAAGTATTCGTCCCGTGCAGTTAGGATCAGGCGTTGCCTCTGGCTCCTTTTCATCCTCAGAATCGTCTGTTTACAAATCAAAACCATCGTTTTCACCATTATTTAAGCAAGGCAAGTTTTGATATTTAGAATTGGTGTAACGCACAACGTTGAAGCAAGGATAACTACCAAAATAATTGTTACCATTTTTTATACGCGGTTTTGGGATGATAATGTAAAGATATGCCACGTTTTAGCTGGGTTATAGATCACTTTGAAATTGTAAATTCTTCCTGCAAAGCAAGTACGAAGAATAATTCTGAACTGAATCAGTTTAATTTCATGTCCAGTCAAATTGTTCCATCTCACTACATGTTAATTTATCTACTTTCTCAAGAGCGTAATTTTAAAAGATGACACAAGAACTAAATTATCTTTGTTAATTATCTGTTTTAATAACCGACGCTAGGTCGGTAATTATTGATTGACGTTTGCTTTCGAAGATCTCTTTCACCCCTACAGCGAATTATTACTTGCTCCAATTAGAAAAGAAAAACTTGTACTAGAGCAAAACTTCATCGAACTGTAGAATGCACCGCTAATTAAATCTATCTCTTTAATTGAACAGAACTTGAAAAAAAGAATCTACGATTAAACTTGACGCTAAAGTGCAGACGGATAGTAATTTTAATGAGCACGGATACTTATTATTCTCAGAGTAGTATATAAATTGCATTTGACACAAATGAGTCCGTTTAAATAGAAAAGATCAGTGCTGAAGTATCTGTCAACTTTAAGGTAAAGGTTACTACGTCTGTTATTTCGCTAGAAACGTGTTAGTAACACTGGAAGATGGTAGGACCAGTAGTCTTTTTTGTAGTTGGTTTCTTTTCCTTTGTTCTTCATTTATTTATAGCTTTGTTTATTAAACAAGAAGAAAAACTGAAAGAAATCTGAAAAGCCTTAAAAGATTAGACTACTTGAGAAGCTCCTAAATGTAGTCAAAACTGAGAAGACGAATTCTCGAAAATTAACATACTTTTAAGTCGGAAAAAAGAAAGAAAGCAAAAGGGAAAGAAGAAAAAGAAAAAGCAAAAATAAGAAAGGCAAAAATCATTTTACAGTTTGAGAAAAAGCGACAAGGAGAATGGGGAAGGAAAAAGGCTGCCAACTGAATGATCTTAGACGGTGGCTCTTAATTCATAACCACCATGCACAACATGCATATTTTGGAAGGACAAAGAACAAAGATGGATACGGCCACTAAAACGTCAAAAAGCTTGAGGTCAAATAAGGAAAACAACCATTTTCTATGCGCAGCACACTTTTTCTTGGTGCCAGATTTATGTCCTTTTTTTTATTTCTTAATTAATAATAATAATAATAATAATAATAATAATAATAATATATTTTTTTAATTTTGAGGACGTAAACGAAACGAAGACGATTTTTCTTGCTCTTTCGTATTTAGATGCGTTAGCTAAGATTTAAAATCCAGGACAAATAGTGCGAGTTGGCAGCAAAACTAGAGATTAAGTTTAACGGCACAGTATCGTGCTCCGGAAGAGACGTTTACGCTACCGTTGCTGTGGAGGTTGTTACCCTCTCTAACCAGAACTGGGTATCATTAAAGGCACCGGAAAGTACTGTTAGATGTAACAACCAGTTGTATTCCAGACTGTTGAGATTCTCTAAAATTTTTAAAGGAGCTGTGTCAGGTTGTCTAGTTCATTTTGTTAATTATACCAATTGCGCATAATTATGCATTTTTTTAATTATGCCAGTTGCGCGTCCTTGTTTGCTAAACTTCACGGGACTTGAGAAATTACTTGTAATTGGGAAAATCACAGTTTCGTGTCAAGGAAAATATGTCGCCCAAGCAGTACATCGTTACAAACGACAAAAATGAACTTTGAAAACCTCTTAGGCTAACAAGGGTTCAAAACCACCATTGAAATCCGTTTCAGTCTTCTTTAAGTTTTTCCATCCGTGCTTCCTTTTGTATTTGCTGTGTTACTTGCGTATATCAGTTCGTTTCATTTTTTGAGAAGTTGAGAATTTGTATTTTATTTGCTACACATAACACGATTACGTTTATAAAAAGATACAAAAAAATGTAGGAAGAAATGGAAAAGATGCCTAAAGGAAACTATAAACGGCTTGTGTTGATTAGGCCTCCTCAATTACAATTTTTCAAAGATGGCCTTAAAACTACGGAGACGGAAACGGCCGCCATAAATATGCAAGTTATTTTTGTTTCAATCTGTGCATGTTTGGTAGCGGTTCCTGTTTGAATTTTGATAAAATTCGTAGCACGGCTCCTTTAAACAGCAAACATCAGACGGCCATTTTCATTTTCAATCACTGAATATCCCTTTTGTATCTTTAAACAGGTGCACAGAATTCATCGATCATGAAAGCCCTAGTATCTGCCCTCGTCATTCTAACTGTAATGGCTGCCGTTGTAGAAAAAAGTGAATCATTTATTCGGGCTGGACGAGGAATGATTTATAATCAGGGAATGCAATTGCCTCAAAATGTTGATCTTCCTGAAAATTATGAAGAATATTTCTCCAAATACATCGATGCCAAGCGCGCAGAACAAATGAGCTCAAACAGAGGTTAGTTCAATAATTTAACTGTCATGCAGATCAAAAATATTAAGATCTACCTTCTTGAAATAGTTTTAGAATTAATTTCCACTTTTATTGATCGACACTATTACTACGGCGCGTTTCTATTGGGCGCAGCAATGCTGGTATCAAACAACTGCCCATTGATAAGTGCGCAGGTTGTAGTAGTTTTTTGACCTCTTCCTGGACATTACCATAGCAACACCATGACAGCAGTCTTAGGTTTAGCTTTCACCCCTCACAAATTTAAAAAGAGTTAGTGACCCTTATTGTACATTGAATTTAGCCGGTCAATATTATTTTTTTTCCAAAGTTAAAAAATTGTACGTGTCGAAATGTTTCAGAGCCCCCTTAAATTTTCGACTCCTCGATGTGGCACTAAAGCCACTGTTTAATTCTTATATATAACCATATTCCTAAAAACTTTGTGAAAAGTTAACACAGGGCTTGATGATGCACCTCGATGATAATCAGCTTGACATTGACTTGTCTTTTATTAATATGTCACTAAAATCTAATATTAACTAAAGGGAGTTTTAAACAGCCTATAAGTTATACACCTTGCTACAGTATTTTGAAATGCCAACAAATGAATATGTCGTTTTGTCAAGCATTTGCATGACATCATCTAGTATAATTATATTACATACATAATACAGGACCTGAGGCACGATTCACGATCCATATTTAATACAAACATATCCTAGGAATCGCCTGAAAAACAATATAATCGCTTCTTAAGGTGTCCCGAACTTATTTATATACGTTATGGTTAAGGTTTTGATTCGCGTTTTTCAGCAGGAAGGATTTAACCAATTTCTATGATTTTTGGTATCCTTAACAAAGAGTGGTCGAACTTTAAGAAAATATTATTTGTAGGTATAAAAACTTCTCAGATATCGGCAAATATTCAAAACCGCATGCACTCTTCCACTATTTGTGCGTCAATTTTAAAAAAATGTGTCAGCGTAGCATTTTAAGGTTAAATTTGACCAGCATTTTGTGCAGCGAGTTGTACGGTCACGATTGACTTCAAACTCGCAAATATAAAACTAGAGAGCTCAGAGACTTATTTGCTGAAGTTAGGGAAAAATCTGTCAAAGGAATTTAAAATTATTTACACTTTTACAAAATGCGATTTTAAATATATGCCGATATCTCTGACGTTTTTAGACCTACAAGATATTTTTGGACTGAAAAACGCGATTCAAAAGCATAACCATCACTTACATATAGGTTTGGACCACCTTAAATGAAGAGAAGATCATCTTCGCAATGAAAGAAGCAACTTACCCAAGACTAGCAGGGATTCACACCCTGACAAACCCCTGATGCAGCGCTCTAACCAACTGAGCTTATAGCAAGCCAACTGGGAGCTCGTCATTAAATTGGTTCGTAATATACGCGGGGAATTGATGACGACGAATAAAAAATAAATTCATACATTCATCATTTAACAATTACTTCTTTTTTCAGATAAAGTCATGATGCAAAGAAGAAATGGAAAAAGCCGAACGTGATCATGCCACTGACCTCAATAATCTCATTCAGACACATCTTGAAAAATGTCAGTGGTGTTTGAATGAAAGCTTATCCAACGAAAATGGACTACATAAATTGCCATGTATTTTTCAGAAAAAATAGATAAAATAAAATAGTGACTTATTCACTTTCACCCTGCAAATTAAATGTTTTACTCATCGACATGTTAAATACTTGTGGAATCATTGTGTGATCGTTGTACCGCGACGACGCGACGGTATTTTTAGTTAAAAAGAATGACTTGTGGAGGATAAAGAAATGCTATTTTAAGGCACGCCCATAAAAAAAAGCGCTTCGACAAAAAGGCCATAGATTACCAAACGCAAGGGGGACTCTTCAGAGTCGTATCGACGGGGTGTTCGTATGGCGGGCTTACCCTGTACACGTATTTCATCCGGAACATCTGTCCCGCCCATTGCTACCTAAGAAGTACTTGGATCAAGACGAAAACAGTTTCATTTCTATGGTAGATATTAGTATAGACCATGGAAAATTGTTGTCGATAATCTCTTTAACATGCAGAGCTTCCTCCAGTCCCATCTGTCTGTTACACTGAGACTCTTCTTTATTTTAAATTTTCTTTTGCTCAAATTGCAATGCACCAGATGCTCTGTAGCTGTACAGCGTTGCGATGAATCAAGTCAATAACAAAAACAGTCAGCGAATCATATTAAGCTCAACAAGCTGAATGACTTCTCAATGGAGAATCCGTGCTATTAAATATATGATCTGTTTTACCAGTGAAAGACTAGTATTTGCCGCTCAGAAAGCCAATTTTCCCCTAAATTCATTGGCGTCTCATTCTATTTCCACGGCCGGCTTTTTTTAAACAATTAACAATACAAACATGTTTACTCATTTGCATAAGTCTAAAATTAGAAGGGTTTATTTTCTACGCTTTATTAGACCATTATAATTAGATGAACACCTATTGAATGCTGCTATTTCAAGTTACCAGTATTATCGTCAAAACAGATTTGTCTTTTTCAATGTAAAGTTCTGTTCCCCAAAGAAAAGCATTTTGCCCCAAGGCTTTCTGAGTTATTTTTGGAAATAACTGATTGGTTCTAAAGTATATTCTTTGGTCCTGTTCAACCCTTTTACAAACTATGCCATGTAAATCGTATTAAATGTAATTATTTGAATTTTCCAAGTTTGTTTCTATTTCGTGATTGAGAAAAATATTCAATTTTCAAGTCGTTTCAAAACTGCACTAAAATGTAAACGTTAAGAAAGCTATTATAGAAGCTTATAGAGTTTGTTTTTTTATGCCACGTGTCCCATGCAAACATGTCACTTAAGGGTCCTGCTGTACATTTCAGCATGATTTAAAAAGAAAACAATTTATCTCACAAATCCATGTAAGTTACCTCTTAAAGGATAAAAAGGTGCGATACATTCTACAAGACTTGAAAAAAACAAATCCACAAGAATGTCATTTGATTTCATGGTTTAGTTTTTACGAAGTGTTTACACAATCTAACTCGAAAGTAAAATTGTTAACAGTGCAATGAATAAAACAGATTCTTTTGTTATAATAATAATAATAGACTGAGAACAAATGGACTCTAAAAAGGTTTATTTACACAATTCTTTGCTTAAACAAAGAAGGAAGAAATGAAACAAGCAGACCAGATGTTTTACGAAGCTCAAAACAAAAGATGGTATTTACAAAAAGTTATTCGATTACAGTTAGTAAAGTTTGTTGTTTGTCGTACTTAATAAGTATAATTCAGTTTTAAGGGTTAATTATGTCTCTAAAGATAACATGCGTATATCGAATATGTATATTTTTAATTCATCGTAACCTAGTACAGATTAACAGCATCTGATGTAATACAGTAAATCGAAATTTAATTGAAGATGAAAGACAAAATACTGCCTTTGAAATCTGGACTAAACAGATGAGAGAAGGTTTTTTCCCCGTAAACTTGAGATTTTTATAGAGTGCCAGACGAAAGTAAGACTGTAGAATGGTTTGGTAAAAAATATCATGCTCCCATAGAGAACTCCATTAGGGAACTGCCAAAAACTACGAGACAAGTTTACGCCAAGCCCACAACATTTAGCGACATCTCTATTCGTCGTGAAAATTTTAGGAGTTCACCACTCGCGGACAAAGGTGGAAAGGGATGGCAGATGTTCCGTATTTCAAAAATCTATTTTCTGCCGTTTGGGAATTCTACTGTCGGTATAAAAGTTTAGAATCACGTTTACGACAAACGTCAAGTTAAGTTGACAATTTTTCAATGTAGGAAATAAGCAGATAAAAGCTGTCCAAAATAATTCTTATGGACGCACGAAACTGGTCATTGAAAGTGAAGGGAAAATTACTTCGTCACGCGAGTGCAAATTAACAGTTGCCTTTCGATTAACCTTTCTTAAATACTGACATAAACTTGCAACGGGTGTTTTGAAGACGTATAGGTAAACCAGTTTTGACTCCCAGAATAATATATGCAGACATGTTAAAAAGAGGTTTTAAGGCTTGTTTAAGTGCACTCAGCTTATCCAGCTACTAGTTTAAAGGCACTCTACTCAAATACTTAGAAACAAATAATTCAAATACAACATAACAGGATTTAAAAACCCCAACTGGCAGGAGGCAACCAGTTAGCTACTTAAAAGAATCCACATGTAATCCACTGCTGATTTTTGCGTCTCAGGATGAAATTTTTTGATATCACCGTGATAAATCAACTGGCCCTGGTCGTTCAAAAGATGGATAACCTTATTCACGGGATGGTTGGATAAATCACTATCCACTGGATAGCGCAATTGGTTCTACTAATACTTATCCATTGGATAGCTATTTATCCGGTGGATAGTACTGTCCAATGTTTGAACAGCCAGGGCCTGATAAATCACTATCCAGTGGGTAAGTATTAGGGAAACCAATTGCACTATCCACTGGATAGAGATTTATACTGTGGATGCGCTATCCTCATTTTAAATAACCTGGACCAAGAGGATACTGAGCAACACGAGCAGCATTTTCTTGTTTATTATGCTGTACAAGATGGTACTAACATTTGAGTCTGAAGACGAAATTATTGTGTGACCACTGAAATGAAAGGTTCTGAGTAGCACTTTCCTTTGGTACGGTTTATTATGCTGTGTAAAGTGGTTCTAAATTTGAGTCTGCATGAAATCCTGAAGTGTGACCATTCAAACGAAAGCTCCTGAGTAACTTTGCTGTGGTACTCGCAATTATGCTGTGCAAGGTGGTTCTAACTTTGGAGTCTGTCGATGAGATCCTATGAAATAACTACGCAAGTGAAACCTCATTAGTTTAAAGTACCTTCACTATTCAGCACACTTCCACCGAAACAACCTCAAAAGGAACGGATCATGAAAAATCACGTTTCTGGGTAACTGACAACCTACCCCTCCGCTAGGTCACAATTTGGCCTAAGTGAGAAATAAGTGTTAATGCTGACTTAGGGGAGGG